GCCCAAGGCCAGAAGGTCCACTCAAGTGCCAGAACAGACTGAACCCAAAGAGGCACCTGAAAAGAAAGTCACATCTTCCAAACCCAAGAAAGTTCCTACTGGAGAAACTATGAAGCTTACCATTGAATCAGAGGATGAAGCTGCTCAGGACAAGAACAAGAAGAGAGCAAGAACCACAACTGCCCAGGTTCTTGGAAATCCCTCAATGAGAAGAGACTCTGAAGAGGAAGAAGAGGTTGATGCACCAGCACCCAAGGCACCAAAGCTTATGGGTGATGCTATTAGATCAGGGGCTGCAGCATCTAAGCCTAAGGAAGCACCCAAAGCTGCACCCAAGGCCAAGCTTGCACCAAAGAGGAATACCAGGAGTATTCCAGCTGCTGAGAAGAACAAGGCCCCAGTGCCAAATGTTGCTGATGAGGAAGATGAAGAAGGACGGGTCCTAAGGAAGCTCAAGCCCAAGATACCAGACCACAATGATGCCCATCCTGTGGCTGAGGACATGAGGATCAGGAAGGACTCAGGGTTGAGGATATGGAGAATGGAAGATCCATATGCCTCAAGGAGAAGAACTGCTGTTGATTACAGGTTTCATACAAAGGAACAGCAGGACTTCTATGAGACAATCTTGTTGGATAAGAAGCCCATAGTATGTGATATGAGGTGGGTTGACTGGACCTACATAAAGGATAATGAAGAACAATATCCTGGAGTGCAAGAAAGTTTTGTTGCTTGTGGAGTTGCTGATTTTGTTGGGCAAAAGCTCACCAACTGGAATGATGAACTTATCATGCAATTCTACTCCACATCACACTTCTATCCAGATGGTAGGATAGTATGGATGTCTGAAGGCACCAGGTACCAGTCAACTGTTGAGGAATGGGCAAGTCTGATCAATTCCCCAAAGGAAAATGAAGATGACCTGGACATTTATGACAAGAAGAAGATGGACCACAATTCCATGGCACACATGTACAAGAAGATCCCAGACAAAGCTGTAGAGACACATAAGTTTGGATCAGTCCACTTCCTGCTGTCAGGGCTGCTCACTATCAATTGGATCCTAAGGCATACTCTATTGCCTAAGTCTGGTGACCACAACATGATCATAGGACATGCCATTAACATGTTGCATTTGTTTGATGTGCCACAGAAGTTTAAAGTCATGAGCCTTATGATTGAAACCATTAAGAGGACAGCAGCAGATCAGAAGAGGAGCTGTGGATATGCCCCTCAGATTCAGGAATAGATTAGCTCAAAGATGGGCACAGGGAAATATCAAATTGGATAAGGAACATTTTCCACTTTATCCAGACTTTGAGGACAATGAGGTTGTCATGAATGAGAATGATCCATCATCTGTACATGCTCAAGAGAAGAAGGAGAAGGCAAGGAAGGAGAAGGCTGCCAAGATGCCAACTCAAGAGGAGGCATCTGAGTATTTCTTGAAGAACAAGCAGGAGCAGCTTGGTTACTTAATAGCATCAACACTGAGGATTGAGAAAGGACTGGCCACCCTCACTCAGAATCAGGAAAGCTTGGAAAGAATCATGGAACTCAAATTTCATGATCTTGATGTCAAAGTAACTGAGATTCAGTCAGTTGTAGAGCAGCTACAGGATGACATGCAGGAGAGGCATGGCAAGACTACCACTAATGTGTTTGCCAGAGTGCCTAGAGCCCAGAGGTCAGTTGCAGTGCCTGTGACAGACACCAGAGCAACATCTTCTGCACCAGCTACAGCCCCTACAGCTCCAGGGCAACCAGCTCCAGCATCAACTCCAGCACCCTCTACTTCAACTGAAGCCTTCGTTCTTGGAGTTATCCAGACACCACCACCTGAAGATCAAGCCTGAGAGTCGATCTAGCACTATGCATTTTCTATGAACTTTTTGGTAACTTGTTGCCAAAGGGGGAGAAAAATGTATAGATCATAGGCCTCGAGAGAGAGAGAGAGAGTTTGCTTTTATTCTCTCTTGATTTGGTGGTTAAAACTTGTTTGCTTTTGATTGCTTGAGATACTATGCCTGTGAGACATTGATGATCATGTGTTTGATCATAAGCTACACTTATGCATATTTGATGATATTATCTTATCTATCCTATGTGATCATTCACTTTGCTTGGTGATGAGAGCATGTATTCAATCTTTATTATTTTGAGCACTCCACCAAGATGTATGTGACATGGAAGAGTAACCCATGAACCTAATTCCTTGTGCATTTGTAGTCCAAAGCAAATCTTAAACTATGCACAAATTTAGGGAGAGCTCTTGATTATCACATACTTCTCAAAGCGACAATGTTTTAATCTTATTATCATTTGTCGAAGCTTTGATCTATATGTTGTCATCAATTACCAAAAAGGGGGAGATTGAAGTGCAACTATCCCTAGGTGGTTTTGGTAATTCATAACAACATATAGCTCATTGAGCTAATGCTATTCCAAGACTATTATTTCAGGAAAGCTCAATGAATGGCATGGCATGGATGATGAAAGTGGATCCCTCAAAATACTAAGGACAAAGGATTGGCTCAAACTCAAAAGCTCAAGACTCTTCATTTTACATTTTAGTGATCCAAGATCACATTGCGTCTATAGGAAAAGCCAATACTATCAAGGAGGGATGAGGTGTTGCTTAATGAGCCTCTTGCTTCAAGTGCTTAGTGATATGCTCCAAAACCCTCAGCTACTTTCTCACATCCACAAATGACCTAAACCTAAAGACAAAATCGGTCACACCGATAATTCCTACCCGGTGCCACTGATTTCAAAAGTCATAGCCACTGCCACAAACCCTAAGTAAATCGGTTCTACCAGTAGGGATCTCGATCTCACCGAGATGGGATTTTAATCTCTCTATTTCCCTTCGTAACGTTTCGGTCTAACCGAAGTGAGCGATCGGTCCCACCAAGATTGCAATGTAAACTCTCTGATTCCTTTTCGTAACATTTCGGTCTCACGGAAAAGAGCAAATCGGTCCCACCGAGTTTACCTGACCAACTCTCTGGAAAGCTTATTACCAAAATTGGTCTCACCGAGTTTGTGTAATCGGTCTTACCGAGATTACGTTATGCCCAAACCCTAACTGAATCAGTCTCACCAAGTTGCATGTCAGTCCCACCGAAAATCACTAACGGTCACTAGGTTTACTAAATCGGTCCGACCGAGTCTGTTGAATCGGTCCCACCGAGTTTGGTAAATTGTGTGTAACGGTTAGATTTTGTGTGGAGGCTATATATACCCCTCCACCTCCTCTTCATTCGTGGAGAGAGCCATCAGAACAAACCTACACTTCCAACTTACCATTTCTGAGAGAGAACCACCTACTCATGTGTTGAGGCCAAGATATTCCATTCCTACCATATGAATCTTGATCTCTAGCCTTCCCCAAGTTGCTTTCCACTCAAATCTTCTTTCCACCAGATCCAAAACCTATGAGAGAGAGCTGAGTGTTGGGGAGACTATCATTTGAAGCACAAGAGCAAGGAGTTCATCATCAACGCACCATTTGTTACTTCTTGGAGAGTGGTGCCTCCTAGATTGGCTAGGTGTCACTTGGGAGCCTTCGACAAGATTGTGGAGTTGAACCAAGGAGTTTGTAAGGGCAAGGAGATCGCCTACTTCGTGAAGATCTGCCGCTAGTGAGGCAAGTCCTTTGTGGGCGACGGCCATGGTGGGATAGACAAGGTTGCTTCTTTGTGGACCCTTTGTGGGTGGAGCCCTCCATGGACTCGCGCAACCGTTACCCTTCGTGGGTTGAAGTCTCCATCAACGTGGATGTACGATAGCACCACCTATCGGAACCACGCCAAAAACATCTGTGTCTCCAATTGCGTTTGAATCCTCCAAACCCTTCCCTTTACTTTCTTGCAAGTTGCATGCTTTAATTTCCGCTGCCTATATACTCTTTGCATGCTTGCTTGAATTGTGTGGTGATTGCTTGACTTGTTATAAGATAGCTAAAATCTGCCAAACTCTAAAATTGGGAAAAGGTTAAGTTTAGTTGGTCAAGTAGTCTAATCACCCCCTCTCTAGACATACTTCAAGGTCCTACACAACTCCCTCATGATCATTCAGAATAAGACCTAGCCACAAACAACATGTAGGGTTATTACCGGATGATGTTTCTCGGGGCCCGAAGCTGTCTAAATCTTGTCGCGTGTGTTAACCCACCTCGACGATCTCCTTGTGTCTCTCGGTCACGCTCAACCCCTCTCAAGCTACAACACAGATGCATTGGCCTCACGACTAAGTCCTAACACTAAGAACATCTGTCGTGACAAATCCATGACAGTTGGCACCCACCATGGGGCATACGCACAATGGTGTTGAGTTCTTGAAGGGATCTCATCTAGGGTTCGAGAAGTTTATAATTTTTTGGATGAAGAGGAACCATTTTTTGAAGGATCTGCATCGTACCAATGACGAGCAGTCGGACGACATACATGAGATTTGAGATGGAAGAAAAAGTTACGGTTGCGTGGTGTGAGCCGTCGAGATCGGACGATCTGTCAAATCCGGATAGATTTTCAAGAGTTGCCAAGACCGACAGCAATTATTTTTCAAGTTGCCGAGACGGACAGATTTCTGAAGAAGACGTTCTTTCACCGTTTCGCTCTTCGTGTGGAGATTAAAAAAGCAAAGTCGCAAAGCAGAGCGGCGATAGAGAGCTCGAGCGCGCACGCTCCCGCTAGGTGGACCAATTGCGCAAGACCGCGTGGGTGGGCCTCTTGAGTGGACCGTATACAGTCTTACTGTCGATACATAGGGCCAGATCACGTACGTTGCGCAGTAACGGACGGAGAGTGAAAATGTACCATCGGTACATTTGAAGGATCACGGTACGTGACGTACTCGGACAATAGTTCCGTCGAGAAAACAGTGTAGACATAGCGGTGGAAAAAATAAATGCGTTTGCAGGCCCAGCAGAAGCCAAGATCCCACCCCGCTCCCTCATTACGAGTGCTCTGCGGTGCCATCAGTAGAGAGCAGTGTCCATGGCGGCGGCGGAAGAGAACGGCAATGGGCTGGAGTTCCTAACAGATCCTGTCGACAGGTATGGTTGCTACTTCATCTTCGTTGAAGCAGTATCTCTGAATCTTTCGCAAGGAACAACTAATGGATTGCCAGGTCTTCTCACAGGTTCCCCTGGCCGGATCTTGAAACCAACGATTTAACTCCGGCCGGTGAGGCAGGTACATGCCTCACACAGTCGGCTGCTGAATCAAGCATGGGAGATGTTGGCGATAACCCACTGTCAATCCAATTGGCCGTCAATAATGGCTGCGAAGCACTAAGCTTGTCGGCGGCCGATTCGCAGCAATCAACAAGAAAAGATGACCCTCAAGCCCCCGGTTGGACTAGAAGGTACCCTCGCTTGGTTTCGATCCTGCTTAACTTAACATATTCATGTAAGCCATATTTGATAAAAAAAGAACTCTGAAGCACAAGGTGTATTTGCATACTGCTCGCTTGTCAGCTCTGAATTCTTCAGATTTGCATACTGCTCGTGTGTCAGCACTGAATTCTTCAGCAAAAACCAAAAAAGTATATAAAAAACATCAATTCATAGTTGTCCATGCTCATCTCTGAATGTATTACGGTTATATATGTCTGAAAAATTTATATCTCTAGATGTACATCTCTGCTTTACATTTTGGTCGCTTATCAAGCCTGATGTCTTTTACAGTCGGCTGCATTTCATTCTTAATAATTTTAGAAATATGAAAGTAAACCTGCACCTCCATGTTGCTTGTGTATGAACAATGAAATCCTGATGAGAAAATGAGCAAAACGTAAGTTTGTCTTGGATCGTCATAAACACTGAAAACAGTGTGGTAAGCCATGTCTGAATGATTGAAATCTTTAAGATTAAAGCAGTGCTACTATATTGGTTGCTTGTGAGCATTGCATTCTTCAGTACAAATCAGGCACCCATTTTCAGTCAAGTAATGATCCGTTAAATAATGAGCGCACACCATGCGCTGGAAGAGTATGTGCCCTTGGAAAAACCTTAAGAGGATACGCGGAGAAGAAAACAGATATCGTCGTGGTACCAACTGTTGGATACAATTTTGATTCATTGGGAGAAGCATATGACTCCTATAATCTATATTCGTGGGAGATTGGCTTTGTGATAAGATATGGAAAAAGTAGGCTTAACGTCAAGACTCGAGAGAACCAAATGTATGCAAGAAATAGTCTGTGGATACTCGGTGAGTTGACACTAAAATCATTACCCAAAAAACTGTATCTGCTTTCTCGAAACACAATATAACATTTGGCAATGGATTCATATTTTCAGGGCAAACCAAAAAAAGGAAACGCACGGACATGCCGCTGCGAGTGCCCTGCAACGAACACGGTTCCGCACTATATGCCGTGGCCCTGGTCACAAAAGCACAACTTGTCCACAGAGAGGGGACACGCCTCAAAAAAAAAAGAGAGAACCGAAATGCTCGATCTGCGGGGTGGGAGGTCGTCGGAAGAACACCTACAGCAATCCTAAGATTGTGGTACATGTTGCCGAGCAAACAACTCATGATCCTGCTATCGATCAGTGATAAATCTATGCAAGCACGAAAGCATGTCAAGTAGCACCCAGTTTGTTACTGTATTCTGGTTGATCAATGCCACTTTCCTGAAGGTGTATTGTGTATTATCAGCTTAGTAATCTGTACTTGTCTCAACCATGGCAACCCATGATGCGTGTATGCAGGCATCGCAAGTGCATCTAATTTTTTACCTTCTGCTTTGTGTCGTGCATGCTCACTTGCATTTGCCTGGCCTAAAAATTGTACTGTGTTCGCCTGATACCCTTGCTTAAATGGGTGTACTGTTGAAAGATAGGTTTCATGCTGCTGTCACATTTCCTTCCTATTAATCTTATTTGTGCTAATCAATTAAAAAACTGCTAACCCTTAGAAGGTACTGCTGAGAATCACACATTCACGAGTCCTCTGTTCATGACATGGGCCAAAAAAAAAGATGTGACCGACAGCACAGTGCACACACCCTCTCTTCTCTCCAAGCATGGGCGCGGACGCAGCACTGTGCACGTATAGTTTGATTTTTGAATCCTTTTGGAGCGCCCGCCCAACAACGCCTGTAGTTACTACCCTTCTACTGTGAGCAACCATCAAGTCTGCTACTACTTGAAGTGAGCCAATCTTTGCCACCTGCTCACAGTCTCCAGGCATATCTGCTTGCTGCCGCTAGCCTCTGGATCACTCCATCAGGCTGCCATGGGCGGGATATAGCACTGTACCCATATAGTTTGATTTTTGAACACTTTTGCAGCGCCTGCCCAGCATTGCCTCCTGCAGCTGCCCAGCTTCATTGGTGCTGCGATTTGCTGCTGACCTGGATCAATTTGCGCCAACGGAGGTGTCCTCGGTCCAAGCGAAGCCAGGTACTTTGCGTAGGCTTCCTGCCACCTGCAGAAATCGCATTCCACCTCGTCCCGGCTGCCATCGACTGGGGAAGCGCTCGCCGGCGAACTGACCGCGGCAGGCGACGTATGTCACCACTACCCTACCGCAATCCGGGCAGGGGACTACAGGCAGGGCGACCGGCGGCAGGGGAATACAGGTAGGGCGATTAGATCTGCACCTTGGTTGGCGTTCTTCAGTCAAATTTGGGGAATCGAGTGAGCAGGTATGTAGGGGGTAGCTAAGTAAACGATAGGCGCCGGTGAACCGAACAAGCGCCGCTTCCCACCATGTGTAACGGTGCCGCCGGTTGTAGACGGCAGGGGCGATGACCCGCTGTGAGAAACAAACGGCCGTCCGAGACCAAGTTCGATATATAAGTAGCTCATTAGTACAGTGTAGACATACAGAACCCTGCAAGCCCTACAATACCATGTACGGCCCACATCCCAAAACGAGTGAATGGGTAGCGATACAGGGAGCGTGCGCGCTCGTCCGCGCCTATCAATTTCTGAGTCACAAAGTGCATCTAGTGCCATGCCGATTTCACAGTTGTTTTGGACGAGATCTTTCCAAAAAGAAAAAAAAGAAAGGGCATCATAAGTCCCTTGATGCTTGTGCCCTCATAGCCGGTACGACCCGGAGGAGGATCGGGTCGCAGGGACTCGGACTCTGACGCTGCTGCGATCTCCGCCTCTACTGCAGCTGCGGCTGCGCCTCGAGCTGCCCGGCTTGCCTTTGCCGTGGACCCGCCGATGCGCGTTGGCGGCTGTACTTCGACGCCGGCTCACCCGCGACCCCCGGTTCGTCTCTGCCTCTGCTACCTCACTGAGCCGCCCGCCTCTCGCGCTGCTCCGTCCGCTTCCAGGCCGATGTGCCTCAAGCCCTGGCCGCCGGCCCTGCACGGCCAACGAGCCGCATGTCCACGGTGCTGTCTCTGCTGCGTTGATTTGTCGGATCACCTCCGAGCTGAGTCGTCGTTGTGGTCGCCTCGCTTTATTTCCCCGGGGCCTCTTCGAGCACACAGCTGTGCCGTTTTGCTGGACTGCCGCCTCATCCCTAAGTCGCCGTGGTCTGCGCCGCTTTCGGTAGCCCGCCAAGCTGCCCCGGCACCAGACCTCGACTCACTTCTGCCGTGGCTGTGCCGCCGTTGTGGTCTCTGCCGCTGTCGTGGTCTGGAGCTTCCGAGTCAGCCTGTAATGCTCCTGAGTCGCTGCTACGGGTTGCCTCCATCGTCACACCTTGAATTGAGCCGCCTCGCCTCTGCCGCTGTGGCGGCAGGCTCACCTGAGCTTCCCTTCTTCCATGCCACGAGTCGGCCGTTCCGCCATAGTTGGCCGCGATGTGCAAAAACCGTGCTTCTTAGTTGGGTGCATGACAATGGAGATTGACAGTTTAAGAAAGGCACTTGACCGAATTGTTGAAAAGCGTGTGTGATTTTCTTGCAAAACATAGTGATTGATAGTGAATGAAGTTGATGCAGACCATATTGAAGATGCAGATGATGAATACCGATACCATGGATAGTTATGACTGCTCATCCATCCTTGCAGAACTGAAGGCCAAGCTAAACAAAATGGTGCCATTGATCCAACTTGAAGGATGTCAAAAGAAACTGAATGTTGCCTCGAGCAAATATCTCAAATCTCCTAGAGAAGTCTTTTAATCCAGATATTGTGAAGGAGATGTATGGAATACTTGAAGCGATGCAAGCGAGAGACCTTGAGCCTGCGCTCAGTTGGCTGCTAAGAACCATGATCTCTTATTCCAGAATAGCTCAATGCTTGAGATAAATGCCAGGCTCTCACATGTTTACGCAGGCGTTTGGGGAATCAAGGGAACAATACAAAGTCCAGAAACGTTTGATATTGTTTTTAATGTGTGAGGCCACACCAAGTGGAGCAAGCCGCGGCATGCACGGTGCAGGCCACGAGTAGGCGCTCAGCTTCGTGAGTAACAAAACACCAGTACAGTGGTCAAGGACGCCAGGCGGTGACATGACCAGTCGTCCCATCTCAAAAATCAACTACTAGTACTGTTTTCATCTATAAATTGCCTCCAATGCAAAACACAAAATCATCAGGTGATATCCATCTAAGTCTAGTTTTTGTCGAAGAACAGTTTATCTTTGCCTTGTTCTGCAATATTGTTTATGCAGGACAATTATTCACTACAAGAGCGATGGTCGTGTCATGAATGTATAGCTCACGCAACCATTATCATGCACTAGCACCTAACCATGCCATGATGCTCGGCGAATATATGTGCAAACCGCCGCTTCTACGGCCCAATTTACATCAACATGACATGGTTGACTCGCCCGTCCGCGAGGCTTACCGCGCCTGTGATTGACTCACCCGTCCGCGCTGGCTTACAACGCCACGGGCGGCTCATCTGTCTGCTCCTGCTGTCGACTCGGACGTGATTGATTTCAGCTTTACCGTGGTGATCATCAAGTGTATTTTTATATCAGGTTAAATCCATCGAGTGTATTTTTATATTACATATTGCTTCCTTTCAAAGAGAAATTACTCTGGCTTGCACGTTCTCTAATGCAGGACAAGTTGTCTACTGCAAAAGGGACAGTTATGTCACTGAGTTGTTGAACGACTCATATTGGGGTATATAACAGTCAAATATGGAGAATCTTAAGCCAGCTCCTTGAGTCGTCTTAAAACTCGGGGGCTACATGGACATGGATCAGTAAATGTTGCCATTTTAAGCAGATTCAAGAACTCCGGGTCATTGGAGGGAAGTAAGCTGGTCCCGGAGGCTACTGTTATATTGGTGAAACTTTAAAGGCCGTCAGAAAATTTCTGGCTTAAAATGAAGAGTTCTGGTTTAAAATCCGGCTCAAGGGAAATCTGTCTCTCACAAAGCTTTGAAGCTCTCCAGTTTAAAATTACGGTTCAAAAAGAATCCATCTCTCGCAAGTTCGAGTTCTCAGGAAAAATTAAAGGTTGCCAAAAATAACTTGCTGCCATGATGCACGGTTCAAACATGGGTATCCTGC